TTCTAGCTGAGAGATTTAGGAAAATAGTGTTGCTACCATAAAATACCATAAAAGTAGAAAAATTAATAAATAAGCAAGACAGGAATTTCATTTAGGGAAAAAGGTGTTGAGACTGATTATGGGTAACATGAAGACTTACAGGTAGAGTCATCATATTAAGCATTAAAAATACAAGACTTAGATTTTGTTGAAAGTCAGTGCTGAAAATGTAGATTTAGGATCCATCAACTAAGGGCAGTTGTTGAAACCAGAAGAGGTAAAAAAGAATGAGAAGAACATGAGAATCTGGAGACAAGACCTAAAAACAGTAACATGATCTAAGCCTCAAGGAAGGCCCCCACTTGTGGGCTAAAGGAGGAAAAAAGGGTGAGCCAAGAAAATAAATAAACAAATAAATAACGAAAAGTTAAAGAAGGACCAGGACAACTTAGAATCATGAAAACCAAGAAATAATAAACATGGCTCAAATTTATTGAGCACTTACTGTGGATCAAATTTGTGCTGTGAGTTTCACATACATGATCTTATTTAATCTTTATAGTAACTCAAGGAGGCAGGTCTGTATATCTTTATTAACAGATGAAGACATAGAGGCTTTGCAAAATTAAGCCAATATGCCTGTCACTCAGCTGGCAAGTCCTAGGGCAAAAACTGGAATGTGTGTTCCCAGCCTCTAGGGTCCATTTTCCAACCAGTGGTCTCTAGAGTATGGGAAAGTGTGGGAAGAAAATGTTAAAATTGCAATTATTGTATCTCTTCTTTTTAAAATTGCATTTTGTGTATGTTTTATAGCAAGCATCCTATATTAGTATGGTGTTATGTGCATGTTTTCGAAATTAATTAATAAATATGTATTTGGAGCACCTGGGTGGCTCAGTGGGTTAAGCTTCTGCCTTTGGCTCAGGTCATGATCTCAGGGTCCTGGGATCGAGCCCCTCATCAGGCTCTCTGCTCAGCCCAGCCTGCTTCCTCCTCTCTCCCTCTGCCTGCCTCTCTGCCTACTTGTGATCTCTGTCTGTCAAATAAATAAAATCCTTTTTAAAAAATATGTATTTATTGGGGTATATGCTCAAATAATTTACTAATGTAAGGATGCAAAAAATATTGGAATCATTTCTTAATTACTATTTTTTGAATCATTTCTTTAAACTGCCATACAAAACTGCCTTTTTTTAATCATTTTTTTAAATTTATTTTCAGCATAACAGTATTCATTGTTTTTGTACCACACCCAGTGCTCCATGCAATCCATGCCCTCTCTAATACCCACCACCTGGCTCCCCCAACCTCCCACCCCTCCAACCTCTTCAAACCCTTCAGATTGTTTTTCAGAGTCCATAGTCTCTCATTGTTCACCTCCCCTTCCAATTTCCCCCAACTCCCTTCTCCTAACTCCCCATGTCTTCCATGCTGTTTGTTATGCTCCACAAATAAGTGAAACCATTTGATAATTGACTCTCTCTGCTTGACTTATTTCACTCAGCATAATCTCTTCCAGACCCGTCCATGTTGCTACAAAAGTTGGGTATTCATCCTTTCTGATGGAGGCATAATACTCCATAGTGTATATGGACCACATCTTCCTTATCCATTCGTCCATTGAAGGGCATCTTGGTTCTTTCCACAGTTTGGCAACTGTGGCCATTGCTGCTATAAACATTGGGGTACAGATGGCCCTTCTTTTCACTCCATCTGTATCTTTGGGGTAAATACCCAGTAGTGCAATTGCAGGGTCATAGGGAAGTTCTATTTTTAATTTCTTGAGGAATCTGCACACTGTTCTCCAAAGAGGCTGCACCAACTTCCATTCCCACCAACAGTGTAACAGGGTTCCCCTTTCTCCACATCCCCTCCAACACATGTTGTTTCCTGTCTTGCTAATTTTGGCCATTCTAACTGGTGTAAGGTGATATCTCAATGTGGTTTTAATTTGAATATCCCTGATGGCTAGTGATGATGAACATTTTTTCATGTGTCTGATAGCCATTTGTATGTCTTCATTGGAGAAGTGTCTGTTCATATCTTGTGCCCATTTTTTGATATGATTATCTGTTTTGTGTGTGTTCTTCATTAAGAAGCCACATTCACTTTCTATGGCCGTGCAGTCTTTTAAATGCAATACTAGTTCTAATTGAGTTAAATGAGAACTGTTTATTTCATAGGTTCTTTTCAAATTATCCCTTGGTATTTTCAAAAATTTGTGAAAGCTTTTGGATTAATTTGTTCCTTGTAATCGTAAAAGGAACACAGGCCTTAGACAAGACTGATACCAGCTTTGAATTTTCTGACCATATGACCTCAAACAAACACTTCATTTCTTAGAGCCAGGTGTGTTCATGCGTAAACTGGAGATAATATGTACCTTACAGGGTATTGCAAAGTTTAGCAATATCATACAAAAATAACTTAGCACTGGGCGTGGCACACAGTGGATACTTTAGATTCATTTTTATTTAGTTAGTTATTTAGTTATTCATTTATTGGGGCAGGGCAAGGAAGGGCAGAGGGAGGGAGAAAGAGAATCTGGAGCAGACTCTGCACTGAGCCCAGAACCCCATTCAGGGCTCACTCTCAGGACTCTGAGATTATGACCTGAGCTGAAATCAAGAATCAAGTGCTTAACCAACTGAGCCAGCCAGGTGCCCCTACAAGTGATACATTTAAAAGAACAGCAAAAAGTAATAATAGAAGCAGTACTAATTTACTGTAGAGAATATCTATAGTTCAATCATCTTGTCCCCTCTAAAATCTGGTCACATATACCTCTGACAGATTTTTGCCTATATTGTCCTCATTTAACCTGAGTACTTGTTTGAACATAAGCAAGAAGTATTTTCCAGAAATACAGAGGCCAATGCAGGTTGGGAATGCCATTTATATGAGCTACAGGCATACATTAGAGATATTGTGGGTTCAGGTCCAGACCATTGCTATAAAGCAGATATCACAATAAAGCAAGTCAGGTGAAAATTTTGGTTTCCTGGCACATGTGAAAGTTATGTCTACACTATATACTGTAGTCTATTAAGTGTGCAATGACATTATGCCCCAAAAATCTTAATTTTAAAATATTTTATTGCAGGGCTTCTGGGTGTCTTAGTCAGTTAAGCGACTGCCCTTGGCTCAGGTCACGATCCTGGGTCCTGGGATTGAGTCCCACATTGGTCTCCTCTGATGGATTTGGGCAAAATCAGTTGAAAACTTTTTGGGAAGGATTCGCCATTCTAGATGCTATTAAGAACATTTGTGATTTGTGGAAAGAGGTCAAAATATCAACATTAGCAGGAGTTTGGAAGTAGATTCCAACCCTCATGGATGACTTTGAGGGGTTCAAATCTTCCATGGAGGAAGTAGCTGCAGATGTGGTGGAAATAGCAAGAGAACTAGAATTAGAAGTTGAGCCTGAATATATGACTGCATTTCTGCACCTCATGATCAGACTTTAAGGAGTTGATTCCTATGGATGAGCAAAACAAGTGGTTTCTTGAGATGGAATCCACTCCCGGTGGAGATGTTGTTTGATAGCACATTACCCACAGTAGAACCTCTTTCCGAATTGGAGTCGATCTTCTCAAACCCTGCCACTGCTTTACCAACTAAGTTGATGTAACAGTCTAGAGAATTTTTTTTTTAATTTTTTGAAAGAGAGAGAGAGCACAAGCAGGCAGAAAGGCAGGCAGAGGGAGAGGGGGAAGCAGGCTCCCCACCAAGCAAAGAGCCCGATGCGGGGCCTGATTCCAGGACCCCAAGATCACAACCCGAGCTGAAGACAGAGGCCCAACCCACTGAGCCACCCAGGCACCCTTCTAACAGTCTAAATCCTCTGGTGTCATTTCTACAGTCTTCACAGCACCAACTGACTTTGCCCAGATCCATCAGAAGAATCACCACCTATGGCAGCTATCACCTTGCAAAATATATTTCTTAACTAATAAGACGTGAAAGTTGAAATTCCTATGTGGCCCATGGGCTGCAGGATCAATGTTGTGTTAGTAGGCAATGAAAACAACATTACTATCACTGTACATTTCCATCAGCGCTCTTGGGTAATCAGGTGCATTGTTGATAAGCAATAATACTTTGAAAGGCATCTTTTTTCTGAGCAATAGGTCCCAACAGTAAGCTTAAACTACTCAGTAAACCATGTTTTGAAATGATGTGCTATCAACCAGGCTTTGTTGTTCCATTTTCAGAGCATAAGCAGAGCAGATTTAGCATAATTCTTCAGGGCCCTGGAATTTTCAGTATGGTCAATGAGACGGGCTTCTTAAAGTCACCAGGTGTGTTAGCTCCAAACAACGAAGTCAGCCTGTCCTTTCACGCTTTGAAGCCAGGCATTGTCTTCTCTGTACCTGAGAAAGACCTAGATGGCATTCTCTTCCAGGATAAGACTATTTCATCTGTACTGAAAATCTGTTGTTTCGTGTAAGCTCCCTGCATTAATTGTCTTAGCTAAATAATTTGCTGGATAACTTGCTGCAGCTTCTCCCTCGGCACTTGGGGCTTCACCTTGCACATCTAAGTTACAGAGAAGGCTTCTTTCTTTAAACCCCGTGAACCCACCTCTGCTAGCTTCAGACTTTCCTTCCGCTGCTTCCTCATCTCTCAGCCTTCATAGAATTGAAGAGAGTTCATTAGGGCCTTGCTCTGGATTGGGTTTATGGCTTTGGCTTAAGAGAGTGTTGTAGCTGGTTTGATCTTCTGTCCATAACTTTCTCCATACAAACAATAAGCCTGTTTCACTTTCACTTTCTAATCCTTTATGGATTCACTGGAGTAGCACTTTCCATTTCCTTCGAGAACTTCAAAGTATGCCTTTATAAGAGCAGTGGCTCCTCTTATTCTTGTATAGAGCAGTAGCCCTACAAATATATTGGCAAAGACATAGAGGGCCAAAGATGTGGCACCCTCAACAGAATTAAACGAGAAGAATGCCACTGCCCTCACTTGCATTGGTTGGTGTGTTAAATGCTTGTCTACTTGTTTGATGCTCTTCGCAGATCTGTACTCCCGACTTGGTGGTGTTCTTGGCTTGTGCTAATCAGAGGCTCAAAGAAAGATTACTGAAGCGCGCAGAGCAACAGGGGCGGCCTGATGACAATCTGAAAGCTACCCAAAGGAGACTAATGAACTTCAAGCAGAACGCTGCTCCGTTGGTCAAATACTTCCAGGAAAAGGGGCTCATCATGACAGTAAGTTAGCTACACTTTTACATGTCTGGTGTAAGAACAATCTTTCAGATTTCAAATTTACCTGTTCTCGTTTAGAAACCATTTTTACTTTAAAAAAAAAAGTGGCTTTTGTTGAGTTTTAGATCCAATGGATAAAAAAATCAGTAATTTTTACCTGCTTTGCCTTGATTAAGTCATTATGATGAAAATACTTTCACTTTAATTTTATAAAAAATGATAAATTTTAATCTTGGATAGAATTCTATAGCCCCCAAAGATAAAAAGCATTTTTAAATAATTATTTGGATCATTTTAAGTAGTACTTGCCAAATTTCTCAATTCTTCTGTCTGTGGAAACCAAATAAAATTGATAGCCTTAAAAACACATAGTTGACATAGTGTTCTATTAGATTTGCATTTGTAAGTTAGGTTTTATCACAGTGTACCATATAAGGAAATGAGATCCTAATAGCACAAAAAAATTTCCTAAGTGTCTGACTTGCTTAAACCAGTAATACTGTCTGAAAATGGAAGGCATTAATCATTCTGCTCTATTAACCCAATGCTGATATTAATGTTTTCATAATTAGTTTGTTTTGTGGTTAACGATACTCAATGTACCAATAAAAGATGGGACTGAGTCATTATTTAATACAGTTATGAGAATACAGGAAGTTAGAGGTGAAGAGGCAGCTAAATTATAATCCCATCACTCCAGAAATTCAAGTATTAAAACAGAGGAGACAAAGGTATTGGTCATCTGAAGAAAACTTTTTTATGGTAGAACAGCTAATATCAGAGCAGCTCCAATGATAACTGGATGACAGCAGAGCTCAGCACATCCCTCCCCCAGCCCTTGGGTTTTTCTCACCAGACCAGAGATTCTTGTCTGGTGAGGTTTCAATGCCCAGTAAACAATCTGATGAAAATAATGCATGCCTTTCTTAATAAAATGCACGTAAGATTTTTTTTTTAACAAATTTTAAATAACTCTACTGAAGCTCATCCACAGAGCCCCTTTGACCTAGCAATTACTGGGTAAAAAATCTCTTCATTAGACTAAGATGCCCTTAGATCTGAGACAGTCACGACACTTGAATAATAATCTCTTTGCAGCCTTTTTAGCACTCTAAAGAAATATTTATTCGAATGTGCTCTTTGAGTCAAAGTTGTCATGTCCGAGAATTGTAAATCTGATCTGAAAATTGTTCACAGTGCCAGAGTTCATTTTAGGGTCTAAAAGAAACATTGAAAATAGGAAAGATTCAAGAAAATCAGGGTGAATGTTTCTCTGGTTATTTTTGTTGGGTTTGTTCCCTGTTTCTCTAGCAAATTACCAGTGCTGACTTCCTCATTGTGTCAAGAGAAAAGAAATTTACCCTGCAGAACAAACCCGCAACTGCAAAGTGCAGAGCCAGAGTTTTAATTGATGTTTGCAAGGCTTAAAGGTATTACCAGAGCGTCTCTGATTACTCCCTGCCTGTCACGTTCGTCATCACAAGCAGAGCAGATTTCCCAAATGAATGCAGAGTGGGGATTGTTAATTTACTAATATTTTGCATGGAGGTGAAATGCCATTGCCAGTAATTGAGGGAGTCAATAACAATGTGGATGACAGCCTGTAACCTCACTGCTGAAACCAAATAAGCTTTAGGTTAAACGCCTCTAATTATTGGGAGACTTGCCTTGGAAAGTCACCTTTTGAAAAGTGGTGAATGCAAACACAGGCTAGGCTCAGGGGAATAGGATTAGAAAATTTCCGTCTGTCAAAGGAGCAAGTACTGCATCCTGAATCACACGTCCTCCTTCAGAACACGGATCATAGTTCGGTTTTGGAATTAAAATATATTTGGTAATATTTCTGCCTTAAAGATGAGTTAAATAATAAAAACAATCATCCTTATTCATCACAAACATATTAAGATTTTAATTTAAAAACTGGGCGTTAATAGATCAAACCCAAATATTTCCTTTTCTCTGTAGTTTTTTCTGTTGCTTCTACCTGCCCATCTTCATTGATTCATTTATTCATTTAGTAAATATTTATTGAAAATCACTGGGTGCCAGGTGCTAGGGATGCAAAGCTAAATAAGCAAAAGGTAAGGATCTTTATTTTATTCCGTTACAGATTACAAATTCCTAGAACAGTACCTGCCTTGTACATAGTGTTCTCCCAGTAAATGAACAAAGCTTACAGCTGTGGGGAAAGAGATAGTAAACAATGAGTTATTCAATGTGATAACTGTTGCAAAGGAGAATGTACAAGGATCCTCACATATGTCATGCACCGTGTTAGGAATTGAGGGGAACAGAGTCTTCCCATCCACAAGTAAGATTAATCATTCATGCTGGTTTGAGGTCCTTAAAGACCACAGAGACCACATCCCTCTTCATCTCGGTGCTTCTCTTCCCAAGTGCTTTGGAGTCTGAAACTCTCACTTGAAATCTCGTGCTCCAGTGCCATTTAATAAATTCATTATGTTCTACAACTTGGTCTCTGACTATAAATTGGAGATGACGTTACCTACCACATAATGTTGTATGGGTGAAATGAAACAATGTGTGTACCACGGAAGAGACTGGCAATGCAGAGGCCATGTTGAGGGTACACCATGCAGCCCCACTGCCTGGCTGATTCCAGCTGTGCCACCTACCGACTGCGTGACCCCCTGCGTGACCCCCTGCAGGCTACTTACTGTCTCAGCTGCCTGACCTGTGAAATGGATATAAACATTCATCCTGCCTCAGTGTAATTATAAAGAGTAAATTGATATCAGGTGTTTAGAACAGTGCCTGAAACGTTGTAAGGGCAATTTAAGTGATTGATATTGTTTCGTAAATTCTTGTGTTTCTTCCTCTCTCTTCCCTTCACCTCTCTTCCCATCTTTTGGAACCTACAATTACCACCAACAATTCTGTGCTCTTTGAGGGTTCTCTGTTGCCTTTTCTCCCATAGATAGATTATTGAGGAAACCCAAAATGCAGAATCAGATTTTAAAAGCTTCATGCCAAATTCATTTTTTCATTTTTTCTTTAAAAGTGTCTGTTTCCAGTTTTTAAATTGCCCAGTGTTTTTTTAACTTCTATATTGTCTGTCTAATCAAGCCATGTAATGGCTGTGGCTGAATAGTGCAATTAGATTGTACGAAACATCAACTCATTTTTTTTCTTCTTTTTTTCTTCATCATTGACTCTACCTATTGGCAGATTTGACTCAAGAACAAACCCAGTGCACCTGAAGAGAAAACCTAATCAAAATAGTCAGGAAAATGTGCTGTTATCTGAATACTGTATCTTATTGACATGGTTCCCATCACTTGGACCTTTTCATTTTGATTCTTTTATTATACTTACCCATATACAGCTATCTGTGCAAGAAATACATGCTATGAAATCACAAGGCTAGGATAGTAGGGACATCATAGAATCTTCTCAGACAACTTTATATGTTGTTTTTTAACTTACTATGGGGTCAGATGTAATTGCTCATCATATCTTTTACAGCTCTGTGCTCTTAATTAAGTTAGGTGCTATGAGTTCTCCAAGTTTGTCAAGAGTTTTGTTTAGAAGTTTATTTGAGTATTACCGGGAACAAGAAAGCTGCTTATTTAGTCTTACTGGGTAAGCTCTGTTTCATGGCATTTTGAAGCACTGGGGCTTGATGAAACTATAGAGTTCTTGAAACATAATTTTCCTTCTATGGGTTTTTCAAAAGTCTCAATAATTATATATATGTGTAATGATAATTTTTTATCTTTATTTTCAAAGTTAAAGAAACCCAGGTCTGTTTTAATCATCCTCACCAAGTTGGATGAAACTTACTGAAGACATAGCATTAATTACCACTAATGGTAACTTGGGTACCAACTTGGGTACCTGGGTGACTCAGCATTAAGCGTCTGCCTTTGGCTCAGGTCATGATTCCAGGGTCCTGGGATGGAGCCCTGCATCAGGCTCTCTGCTCTGCGGGAAGCCTGTTTCTCCCTCTCCCACTCCCCCTGCTTGTGTTCCCTCTCTCACTCTCTCTGTCTCTCTCTGTCAAATAAATAAATAAAATCTTTAAAAAAAAAAAAAAAAAAGACAAGTCAAGCTTAAGTAAATTTGATGAACTATTTAAAAAATATACACAGTTTTGTTCATTGAAGGGCCTTCTAAAATGATTGAAAAATAATAGGGTAAGCTATAATGTTTATATTTTTATTTTCCAAAATGCACTGTGCTCTTGATCCAGCCAGAAAACCATGGCACTCACCAGGGAAATTGTTACACACTTGTGTGCATTGAATAAATGCTACTCAATATAGATAATAATCATTACCATTGTTTGAAAGACATATTTTTAGTACGCGCACATACACGCACACACGCGCGTGCGCACACACACGCACGCACACAAAATTAGGGATGACATGCTTACAAATAAAGTCTCTAGATAAATCTATTTGGCTTTAAGAAAGCTCCCAACATTTGCCTTTTCTCATTTTGCAGTGGATTAGGAAATACTTCATTGCAGACTGACTTTGGTGCTGGGGAAACCACTGGCAGAGAGAACACATCCTTGTCATAACCACAGTATTGTTAATTCACCAGATACTGTCCCTGAGCCCCCCAGGTCACCCCCACATGCCTCATATCATTTCCTTCAAATTTGAGAATACCTATATTACATATTTCAAATACACCACTGAAACTATGTAGTTCCCATCCCACCAGACACTTGTAGCTGAAGGGAAAATAAACAGGAACAATAAAAGTTAATTTACATAGAACCAAATAATTATTTGTCAATTAACTTAGTTTCCTAGGAGTCGACACCACCATTTAAACCCAGGGACACTTATCTCTAAGCAGCCAGTGCATAGCCATTGGTTAATCATCACCATCTCCACTAGCATTGCCGCCAGGAGGTGGGCCGGGGGGGGAGGGGGGGGGGGGGGGAAGGTCAGGGTGGGGGGGGGGTGGAAAAGAAATCTAAACAGCACAAACCCTGGGCAAATTCAGCCACTCATCTAAACACAAGA